GGTGGAAGGGGAGGAAAAAAAAAGGGGGGGGGGGAAAGGCGGGTAGTGACATCTGAGTTTGGCACGGAGCCTCGCTGAAGGAGAGAGTTTGTTGTAATTGCTCTGACAGGTTTTAGGGTTGTTAATGACTCCGGCCCGAGCGCTACCAATTTGTCAGCATGCTCGCTGTTTACTAAGCTGTTGTTTTATGGTCCGGTGCGAGGGACTTGCCGCTTGTTTAAGCACAGATCAGGAAATAATCAGTGAAAAAAAAAAAAAAACACCGGTTGCTGCTACGTTTAAAATAAATTAATACATCTGTTTTCGGAGCCCTCATTCACTGTGTGGCTTTCCATTTTGGAGGCTGAACATTCGACACAGTGTTAATGTATGCCCACTTCAACCTCTGAAACTATTAAAACAATCGCCACCAGATTTGGGATTTTCTGGGTATGAAGCCGTTTTCTCCCTATCGGCGTTCGCTAAAGAAAAAAAAACAAAACATCAGGTTGCTTGACTTTGATTTGATGCTTAAAAACTGTAACCAAGGGTCACCAGAATTCACATGCACATCTCTACCTATGCCCACATCAATTTCTGAAAATATCAAAAGGATTGCCTCGTTATTTTGGATGTTGAAGCGACCTTAGGGTGCCGTGAGCACCGATGGCGAGGAAGACGTCAATGTCCATAATAATCCAAAATATTGCGGCGATCATTTTGATATTTTCAGAGATTGACGTGGGCATTTGAGGTCATGATTCAGAGTTTAACAATATAAAATAAAAAATAAAAAATACAAAATGAATAAATAATTTAAAAAGCGACGAGAGCCACAGTTTAGAATTTGAAGGTAAAAAAAAAAAGAAAAAAAGCTCAATTTTCAACTTGGAAATTAACACATAAGTAATGTGAGCCCAACTTTCATGTGATTCTGATGTTACAATAATGAATGCTATTTTGATCTTACAAATACCTACGAGTGCAGTCACATGACTAACGTGAACTTATAGTCATCAGCGATGTCATCTACCACCAAGGTCGGACCATTCCATTAGTGTGAACACTTCTCTGCATGTTTGTGCATGCGTGATTAGGTGTGCACCTCGGGCATGTGGTCCCAAAAGCGTCAAAGAGCCCTCCGTAAATCCAGAGTAAATAAAAGGGGGTAACCAGACGGACAAAAGCGGGAGCCCCTACCGCTTCTCCTATTGCGCAGCCATTTGTGAATGTGAGGGGGGGGGGGGTCGAATGTGCTAAATGCTCATGTCTTCACGCGGGCTTTTGTCCATGTGTTTGCCGGCAATGAGCCGGTTTAATGGTGTGCCCATATATAACATACTGTATGTAGTTTGTCCAGCTACTTCGCCGTCCGCTCCTCACGAGGTCTGGGCGAAAAAAAATGCCTGACTGGTTTGCAAAGGCACAGAAGGAGGCAGGGCCCCCGCCGGTAATAAGTCACTTTAAGCACGGCTTCCATAAGCCACTGACTCAACACTCTCGCTTCATTAGCCTGAAACAAACACCGGGGGCCTCCCTGTGCACGGCACAACATCTAAAGTCTGTGTCAAGACTCTCCATTTGCTATACGAAGAGTAAAATGCAACGCTGGCTTTCTTGTGGAGGTGGATGGCCAACCTTGATCGTTTATTCTTACGCCTTCGTCACGCTGCTTTCTTAGCTTACGTGACAAGTGACGTCAAAGCTGACACAAAGCTGATCCGAAAAACCGATTTTTTTTTTTTTTTTTTAACCAATCATTCGTTGCAGCCCTGCATCAACACGACGGACATTTGTGAAAACCGTATTATCGTTTCAATTCTTGAGCCCATCTCAAAAAACGCCGAGCTCTACGATTATCTCACACTTGACGCCAAACCAATTTTTTCTGTGCGACAAACTTGGAAAAAGCAACCCCCCCGCCCCCTGCGCGCTAATACGTTAGACAAGCAATAGTTGCGCCGTGTTTACAGTCCTCCTCCACCGACCCGTTAATGAGCTCAGCCCCGAGACCAATTTACTCGCGGCGAAGATATATGGGAATGCATTTTTAATAAGCAGCCACTGGTGACGAGTTGAGAGGCGATGTATACGAGCCGAGTGCGCTCTTGGACTTGTTTGTTTGCCCGTTGTTTCTTTGCCGTTGCGTTATAAGACCGATCCATCTGAAATTATGCGCCAACTTTTAAACAGAGCCCCAGTCACGGCGTGGCTGGCGTGTGTTGAAGAAAGAAGGAGAGCGGGAAGGGAGAGAGTGGGGCTCCTCCCCTGCCGCCCCATCTCCAAGGGTGCTGCTTTTCCAAAAGTGCCCGAGGCTACACTCCAGCATCTCAGCTCCCCGAGGCCTTTTGGCTGCCTCCTAATAGCCAACCTCCATCTGTGTCACATGGCCAGATGATGGGACGCTTTCCCTTACTCTTGCCTTGCACATTTTTTTTTTCACTCTCCCTCCTTTCCTCTGCCTACATTTTTTTTTTTTTTTTTTTACCCAGCGTGCGCATCCACACAGGTTCGAATGGCAGAGTTGCCAGGGAACAGTCAGAAGCCATTAGCGTTTGGGACAATTTGCCCTGCAGCGTTCCTTCTCTGGCTCCTAAGAAAGGAGGTGGGGGTGGATGCAAAGCGCCGGCTTTCCTTTAGATGTAATGAGGCTGCGCAAGTTGCCTCTTCTTTATTCTTCTGCTCCCTCGCACCCTCTCGGTCTTTGTCTTTTCACACCTTTTTCTTCCGTCGCACCTTCTGGCCATCGCCTCGGGTTTTTTTGTTCGAATAAACACCTGGACATTGAAGACCTCGGTGTATCCCACAGGGCATTACGCCGGAAAACTTGACTGTTTTTGCAAGCACGGGTATGATGACAACTGAAAAATGAAAATAAATAAATAAATACATAGACGTGGGTTTTCTCCGGGTATTCCAGTTTCCTCCCACATTCCAAAAAACATGCGTGGCAGGATAATGGAACACTCTAAATTGTCCCTCCGCGTGAGTCTGAGCGCAGATGGATGTTTGTCGATGTACGCCCTGCGACTGGCTGGCAACCGGTTCAGGGTGTCCCCCGCCTACTGCCCGAAGACAGCTGGGATAGGCTCCAGCGTGCACCGCGACCCTGGTGCACATGATCTGTTTGAGGAGGAGCTGAAAGCTTGGGCGTCGGGTTTCTTCTCCGCAGGCGGGAAAGGTGGGAGGCAACGAGCATGCTGGGTAATGAAGTGACAGGTCACTCGGTAAATACGCCCGGGTCACCTTGCGCGACGGCGGCGGCGCTTTTGCTGGCAGTGGCTATCGCATTACAGTGAAAATGGAAACGTCAATAAAATTAATCTGCCAGCCCTTTTGGCCAACGTGTAGGTCCCGCCACATGAGGCCTTGACCTCTCACAGCGGGAGAGGGATATACTCGGAAACACTAAAGGCAAAAAAAAAAAAAACAGTTGTGGAGACAAACACTCACATACAGCAAGCAAATAAACCAAAATGTGTTGTTACATTATTCGACGGGCAGGGTGTTTAAAATTCACAGCGTCGTGTTGTTGACTTCCGCGTGGAGTCGTGTTTCTCAGGAAGCCCCCCCCCCCCCCACCCCGACCCTTCGCAGTCGGTGTGGAGCGGAGTTTATTGTTTTAGGCTTTCCTGAACAAGGATTCGTACTTAGCGCGGGATTTACGGCGCTGGGCCGGCTAATGAATGTCCATTGTACAACGACAACACCCCATATGTCCCTCAGAGGGGCTGTTGCTTCTTTGACTTCACACGCCGAGTGCTAAGTCGGCACTTCTCTGTTTCCCCCCTTTTTGGTGTGGCTCGGCACTAATGATGTGGAAGGAAAACAAGGACAGAAAGGACTGAAAGAGGAAAGGGGGAGTCGTTAGAATTCGGATCCCCATGCTGCCGTCCTTGTATTCTTCATTTATTTTGCATTTTGATTACACCGGGAGTCTGCCCCCTTCCCTTTTTTTTTTTTTTTTTTTTTAAAGGTTATTAGTTCAAATATTTATGCGAGATTAGCGCTCATATAGGTGCTCTTGATTGACGCCGCTCCAAAAACGTGCCGACATGCCGGTTTCGAATTTGGGGAATGTCCGGGTCCTTCGCTGCCTTGGTGGAGGACTTTTTCAGATTCATAATTTAGATGCCCTCAAGGAAGGCTTTCAAGGCATCTAAGCCCGGGGGCAAGAAAAATAACCACCAGTGTTAAAAGTAAATCATTTTTTGCTAATGCACAATTAATGTGGGGAAGGAGGAACAAGAAGAGGAAAAAGGGGTGCAGAAATGAAACTTTTTTTTTTTTTTTTAAGCGAAGAAGTCATGTTTTCGTCTTGGCGTCAAACACGCTAGCGGACATTAATAAAGGCGTATGCTAGCCATCTATGCTAATTGTGAGGAGGAGGAGGAAAAGGTGGCGTGTGTGTGTGTGGGGTGGGGGGCAATTTAGAGTGTTCCGTTAACCTGCCACGCATGTTTTTGGAATGTGGGAGGAAACCGGCGTACCCGGAGAAAACCCACGCAGTCACGGGGGAGAACATGCAAACTCCACACTGGCGCTGGAATCGAACCCTGCGCCTCTGCACAGTGAGGCCAACGTGCTAACCAGTCGTCCACCATGCCGCCACCCTAACCCTTATGAACTTGAGTTTCGTACACATCCGCCGTGCCCTTCCTTACGTCAAGCTTGCAAACGTAATTGAATTAATGACTCGTACTGTATGTCAAAGTTCCTTGATTCAACCCCACCCCACCCCAAACCTCCTTCTGTAGATCTGGTCTCCAACTGTAACACTCCAGTTCTTGACCCCCCCACCAGCCTCTTGTACATGCTCTGGAGTATAGAACAACAGCGCTAGGTCTCAATGTAAACCCCTCACTCAGCACAGGCCTTTGTCTAAGGCCGTCTAAAAGCGGAAAATTCACCGTGTTGCCTTTAACCTCACTCTTAGCTATCAGCTGTGGTATTTGTCAGTTTATCCATCCTTCACGAGACGCGCTCTGGTATGCCCGTGCGGCATTTTATGTCTCACGCAGGCTTTATTTTCCGCCCAGGAGATGGTTTAGACAACAGCGTGGCATCGCCCGGCACAGGCGACGACGACGACCCGGACAAAGATAAGAAGAGGCAGAAGAAACGCGGCATTTTTCCCAAGGTGGCCACCAACATCATGAGGGCGTGGCTATTTCAGCATCTCACAGTGAGTTGTTGTTTTTTTTTTTTTTCATAACTGTTATTATTATAATTTGGAGTGCAAACGCAGCTGTCACACAGTTGTCACTGTGAGAGAGCGAGAGAGGGAGAGAGATCGCGAGGGCTCACCTGTCAGCCACCTGTCACAGAGGAGCACGCTGACCGGGTCAAACTAATCACTTTGGACTGTTTACCGTGCTCGGCACACTCCCGGCAAACAATGGGACGAACGAGCGCAGGACGGTTAATCCAATGTTGGGATGCGCAATGTTTGTTGGGCAACGCTGGGTCGGCCGGGAGTGGAGAATCGTTACTTCCTGGGGAACATGAAGGACATCCGTGTCCGCTGTTCGTGAATGCTGGTCTGCTTGCGCGGGAGGTGGAGATGGCGCTCTGGATATGATTTATTCCCCCAAAAATGTTTTCACAGCAGTTTTCCTTCAAATAATCTGCTCCAGCGTCAAACTGTCACCATCATGAAATCTGTTTTGGGGCAATGTTTTGTCATGTAACTTTTCAGTCTTGTATACTGTTATACAAGTGTAAAAAAAAACCCCAAAACATGACTAAACCAACACAAATAAATAATTAAATCCACCCAAATATTTTAAGGTGTAAAAATAAGTTAGCCTGTATAGCTGGAGCAATACTGTAGTCAAAACCATTGGTTCACAGTACCACCTTAAATAATACTTCGATGAACCACCATAATGACATTCAAGCATTAAATTACAGCTGCGTAGTAGGCCCAGGTGTTCATCAAAAAAAGAAGCGAAAAGTGTATGTCATATTATTTGAAGCCACTGTAAATAACACGCACAGTTTCAACATTAATATTCCGCTTAAATACAGGAATTAAAACTTGCTGCACATATATGATGAAATCAAAGAAATTGGACATTCATTCACGCTTTAAAAAATAACATTCGAAAAGATTAAATACAAATGTCTCTGTATTTACAAACTGTTTTGTTTGAGAAATAAGTCAAAACACATTCCAGCGTAAACAGAATTTTACATTCGATCTCGCTCCCCCCTTTGATTTGAGTTGAACTGGGAAGCTATGTGCCCGATTTTTTTTTTTTTCCGAAACATCCACTTTCCCCTTCGTTGCTGTACTCTCTGATGCGACATGTCTTGTTGAAATGAGGCACTGCCATGTGTCAGTCCATTTGTAAGCACAGAGGAGAACCCCCACGCCCCCCAACCCCCCCACTCCCCTCCCTTGTACCCTCGCTGATGTCCGTACATTATCCGAACATCAAATCGTATTGATTTTGCCACACGGCTCCGATTTCAGCAGCAGCATGTGACACACGAGCTGGACGCAGCGCTAAAAGCCAGCCAACTTTATCCTGATCTTCAACCAAAAGGTGACCCCCACCACCACCACCACCACCACCACCACCTGACCCTGGCGACATGCCCCGCCCCCCCTTCGTCCCCTCCACCGAAACATAATGAGTGACCAGCAAATACAACCTAATTGAAAGGGCTGTAAATCCATTACATTTTGGTCAGGGGGGATAATCAGGAGTGCTTTAATCACTTTTATCTTTTCAGGAGCAGTGAAGCTGCAACTGCAAAGCCCCCCACCCCGAAGCCGTGCAGGCAGGCCCGCTTATTGCTTATTATTCTCATCATTATCAAAATGACTTCAGCAGCTGTTCACAGCTCACTCACTCGCTCGCTGCCCGGACTGCACGGAAATGTGACCATCAAGTTGAGGATGTTGATTTGAGAGATCAAAAGTGACTCCCTTTGAGAAACTGTCATGCGCGCGGAAGAATGTGCTAACCCGAAGTCATTTCAACTCCGTTTGGGGATTCCAATTTTTAAACACTCACCCTCGTCAGGTTGAAATATTTTTGTTAATTTTTAAAGTAGCGTTTTTAAGTCAAGTGCAAAATAAATAAATAAACAAAATCGCCACGAAGCCGTTTAGTTTTTGCCATGGAAAACATTTTCACGCTATCGCTCCGCAATTCAGTCCTACCTAGTTCTCAGCGACTATATTCAAACCGATATAATGTATTTACACTACAAACACATCTCTCAATTCACTTTATGGAGTCTTGAAGTAAAAAAAAAAAAAGGACGCTTTAAATATCAGATTTATTTGTGTTGTAATTGGAATGAGGCCTCATGCAAATAAGCGCTGGTCCAAATCAGAACGGCACACACAGAGCTTTTGGAAGTCTTTCGAATGCTTTCAAGGAAAGAAGGGAGCCACTCAATGGACAGTTTTTAGGGCGTCGCTTCATTCAGTGTTTTCAAGCATCCCGACCCCTCCCCTCTCTCTTTTTTTTTTTTTTTTTTTGCCAGCTTGTAGATGTTCTCTCCAATCTTCATTTGTTTCCTTTGTGTAAAGCGCAGGCTCGTCTTGTACAAATAATAATCCCTCCCTTTTAACCTGCCTTTATTTCTTCAGTGAGGAAGAGGACTAATTGAATTATCCCCCTTCTCTCCTCTCACCATCCAATTCTCCCACCCATAAACTCTCCCACACACACACATGCGCGCACATTCGCATCCCGCCCGCCCGTCCGCCTTTCTTTTAATTTGTTAAGCAAATGTATTTTGCCGTTGCTGGATGCATTTGGGGTTGAATTCTGGGGGACTTTGGCCCCTGAATGGCCCATAGTGGCATTCTTCTGTCATGGGCTCATTCATTAAGTGAGGGGTGAGGAGTGAAAAGGAGCCGCCTGGTCTTCCATGAGCCACGGGGGTCTCTCTACATATGTTCTCAACATCCAGCCATTGTCGCGTTTGTCTCAAAAGCTCCAAAAGGACAGAGCAGCTAACCCCCTCCCCGCCCCCTCTGCTACTCTACCCGACGATATCACCTCACACCAACAGCCCCCCCACCCCCCACAACCATCCCGCACCAACACACACTCCACTCTCAACTGTTGGCTTTTGGATTCAGTATGACAAAAATGCCCTCAGTGCTCCCATCTTTCAATCATATTTGTCCTAAGTCTCTTTACTGCACCGTTTTTTTTTTGTGTGTGGGGGGGGGGGGTTGCTTCCCCTAAATTAGGTCATGGGGCGTTGTTGATTGAGTTAATTTGCTGTTGAAAAGAAGCTCCAACATGTCAGCAGCTACAAGATGTTGAGCGACAGCATATCGCTATCTAGTATCACTCTGGAACGGAAGCAGAGGTTTTCAGAACATTCAGTGAACTTCTCAAATTTCACTTTTTTTTTCGTGTGGTGTAAAAACAAATTCACCGGTATGTTTATCCATCCATCCATCCATCCATCCATCCATCCATTTTCTGTTCCGCTTTATCCTCAGATGGGTCGCGGGGCGTGCTGGAGCCTATCCCAGCCGTCTTCGGGCAGTAGGCGGGGGACACCCTGAACCGGTTGCCAGCCAATCGCAGGGCACACAGAGATGAACAACCATACACGCACACACTCACACATAGGGACAATTTTGAGTGTTCAATCAGCCTGCCATGCATGTTTTTGGAATGTGGGAGGAAACCGGAGTACCCGGAGAAAACCCACGCGGGCACGGGGAGAACATGTAAACTCCACACAGGGAAGGCCGAAGCCGGGATTAAACCCACGACCTCTGCACTGTGAGGTTGACCACTCGAACACCGGGCCGCCCCCAGTGTGTTTAATAAATAAAATTAACTAGAATGCTTCAACAACGATGAAAAATGAAACTATAGTTTATGTTTATAAAAATCAACACTTTTTCTCTATTAGACTACAATTCAACTTTCCATCTACTGGAGATCCGGGGACATTTCCGCTAAGTCAGCCCGGTTATAGATGACAATTGTTGCATTCGGTTGTAGTTATTTCATTCGTTTTCGTGAACTATCCTACCCTTGGCTGGTACGTATGGTGAAGGTGTGTTGAACATTGCAAGTGAAATAGTCCGGAACATTCTCTCATCCCATTCATGAAAGTTTTTTTGAAACACAGATGAAGGTCCTTGAGTTCATTTCACAACGCCAACCGACACATTCGCGGGACACATTCCGGTGCGTTGCTTGGTTGCCAACAAGTACACGAATGATACAATGGCCGAGAGCAATTTAGATGGACTTGTTGCTCTTTTCTGTATGTCATATTCCCCAGTGCTCCGACTTTGTTACTCGGGCTTGCTATTGCCATTTTGCCTGCACACCACATGATGGAAACTCAAGCCAGGTTGGGATTTACTGTTCCAAGCTGAACTAAACCCCGCCGCTTGGTGGTCGCGTATTCAATTACCTTCGCTACTGTCAGTCCTCCCTCCCGAAACGCAACCTGTTGCATCATAACCTGAAGTCCATATGTTCGTCCGGGGCCGAGCACGCAAGCTGGCAACCTTAAATGCCCCCCCTCCCTCGTATATGGAGTTGGCACGGGGCCGCACCGGCAGCTCAGCTGGTGTTAGCGGGGTCCTAGCATCACTCCGCTCCCTCTCGCTCTTTAATACCCCACTGGCCTCCCTCCCGTCCGTCCCCATGAGGTTCTGGATGTCTTCCAGCCACATTAGAAGAAGGGAAATCCCAGACTGTTGGTATAAGCTTTTCAATACTACAGGGAGATTATGTTATCAGGAAGGTAAACTTGGGCATTTGGGGGGGGGGGGGGGTACTACTGCGCCCTCGAATGCATGGATGACGACAAGGCAGTGATATAGCAGGACGGATGCTTCTGTTTTTTTTTTTTCCCAACCATTTTGAAAACTTTTTCAGCCATGCGCAGCCCCTTTGGACATCTGCTGAACGTGTCTACTGTCATTTTCAGTTTTAAAGCGTATTTTTAGGAAATGTAAGTGTTTACTAATTAGGCTTCTTAGTGTCGCTCATTCAAAAAAAAATAAAATAAAAAAATAAGGAGCTTCAGAATGTGCAAAAACTCCCCCATCCAAACTTTTAACCCGCACAAAACCCAATTTGAACTAAAAGTGGAAACAGGCGTTCAGAACATTCGGAGAAAGATTCTCCCAACCACACTTTTAAGAAGAAACTGGCTTCACCCCGGGGCAGTCACACA